AGAACCAGTAATTAGCACCTCTGACTGGCCCCATCCGCATCTATTCTCTGCCTCCCGAGTCCCAGCTGATCTGGAGGGAATGGGGATTTTGCATTAATCTTCCCCTGCCACGCCCACTAAGCCACATCCACCAAGCCATGCCGCACCCACAGAACTGGTAGTAAAAACTTTTGAATCCCACCACTGCTCATCCTGCTTACTGGGTGTGAATGAATTGGATTCAATGCACATGAAAAGCATAGGGAATGATGCTGTAGGGCTTGTTAATTTCAAATTGGTTGGAACCCTGTGGCCCTCCAGATGTTATTGGACTATCATTCCCCTAATCACGTAATCACATCATCAGGCTGGATGGGGTTGATAAGATTTGGAAATGAACAGCATCTTAGAAGATGATAGGTTCCCCGCCCACTTTTTTTCTTTTTAAAAACAGTTCCATTAATTAAGATAATAGCTCTTTCCCAGAAGAATGCAGGAACAAAGAGTCAAGCTATTGATTGGACCATCTCATGGTTCTTTGTAGCAATAGCATGTACCACAGACTTACATACCACTTCACAGTGCTTGACAGCCCTCTCTAAGCAGTTTACAAAGCCAGCATATTGCCCCCAACAATCTGAATCCTCATTTTCCTGACTTCGGAAGAATAGAAGGCTGAGTCAACCTTGAGCTGGTCAGGATTAAGGGAATTGAACTCCTGGCAATGTAAGCAGAGTTAGCTGGTAATACTGCATTCTATCCATTGTACCACCATATCTCTTATTGTTCTCTCCTATACTCTAATTTAATATTATCTAAGATCCCCTTTTATAACATAGAATTGATTATGGGGACTATAAATGCAAGGCGCTCTGTAACTAAATTATGGTGCGCCAATAAACCAACTTCAGTTTCTAAGATTCTCAAGGAAAACTCAGAAACATTCCTGTCTGAAGCCCGAAAAAAACCAGTGTCAGGTCCTTTCCCTGTTTGCATCTAACTATGGCTAACAAGGAAGGCAGGAAAAGTGTGTCAGCCTGTGCCACCCTGCAGCTGTGTGGGCTGCCCAGGGAAGCCTCTCCTGTTTTAACAGGCAGCCTCTGTCACCTCATAGATCATCTGTCTCAGTACCAGATTTTGACAGATGGCTAAAGTCTAGCTATCTGTCAAATTCATTTACCAATCACAGTGTGATTGGCAGATGGTTTCCTCCTGGGTGGTGACACTGAAAAAGGAGAGAGGAGCAAAACCAGAGGGTTTTTCCAGTGACTTTGCTTAACATATCCTGCACAGCTAAATCAGTATACCACCCTCTAGGACAGTGCTTCTCAACCTTGGCCTACCTGAAGATGCATGGGCTGGCTGGGGGATTCTGGGAGTTGAAGTCCCCGCATCTTCAGGTGACCAAGGTTGACAAACACTGTTCTAGGAGAATGCCAGAGCCGACACTTTAGAGAAAGAATAGAGTGGCAGTGTTATGCCAATAGGGTTTATTGGCGACTTGAAAAATTCAGTGAAGAAAACTTTAATTTGGCAACATAGCTCTTGCTACCTCCAAGAAAATTTGGGGAAGCTTCATATCAGAAACCTGGAGAGCCCTTGCAAATGAACCAATGAGCTAGATTGACCAGGATTGTGACTCAGTTTAAGACAACTGGCTTCATTTGTTTCTAAATTGCCTTTCTGTGTACTCTTGCTTCAGTTCAGCTATCCAGATGGCACTTTCCAGGGCAGTTCTGGTGGTCACAACCCAAAGCCTCCCATTTTCTTAGACCAAGCTGCTCCTTCCAAGGCCTTCATGAGCGCCAGCACGGCTCCTTTCTATAGGGAACAGCAAGGGTTGGATGGAAGTCAACTTTTCCAAGACTTGGGGGCACTTTACTTAACCCAGGAACAGACAGGTAAATCCAGAAACAGGGCTGAAAACAAGCAAGATCCCAAGATAGATTATGCTCTTCATGATAATCGTAACAACCTTGAAAACAGAGCAGAGTCTCAAGTACACCCAACAGAGCCAGGTGAGACTTTTCTTATTTTTCAGTGACCTTCTAAGAATCATCTAGCTTATTTATCTCGGTTTGAAAGCCTTGATGATGATTAGGCAACAGAAGCAAAACACCTTCCCCTCCTTTCTATCCACAGATAGACTTGTGCAGAGGCTTACAGCAATATTTGCCAACTATGGGATTAAACCACAGGATGTAATTCAGTTCCTTCACAGTCCCAATAAACACGGTGAGTAGGGATGGGGACTTGGAACAGAAAAGAGGCAGGAGGGATGGTTTTGTAGCTGGAGGAGAGAGATTGGAGGAAGGTTGTGTGTCTGGGTGTAAAATAGGAACTCTGTGGGCTGAATCTGAAGAGAGGAGATTCTGTGCTGTCCCTGTGCTAGCTCATGCAATCCAGGCTTAAATTTGTGCTGGCTTCACCTCAGAATTTGTTTTTCCTCTGTTGGTATTTTAGCTCTGGAGCCTATGACATGGCAATCAGAGAACATGCTTGAACCTCCGCAGAATGTCTTCCCTTAAGTGCAAGGGTAGGAAACTAGTAACTCTATAATGGTGGACTGTGACTGCCATGACCATTGGCCAAGCTGGCTGGGGATGATGGGACTTTGACAACATGAAGAAAGTTATAGATTGTTAATTTCTATTTCACTACTTTGAAAATAAGCACATTATAGTGTTTTTTCCCCCTCTCACCTTAGAAAATAAGCACTTTCCTTCTCTAATTCTTTTCTTAGCTGGAAGACTTGAACAGGAGGCTCTGGAATCCAAGCGGGTTAGTTCACCAGCTTCTCCCCACCCCCCCAGGTTTTCTTTTTTTTTTTTTAAATCAAATCAATGTGTGAACAGTGTGGCCCCTGGGTATCATACATTCTAATNGTGTGTGTGTGTGTGTGTGTGTGTAAGAATCACCTTATATCATGCCTTAGTGCACATTTTTCCTTTTTATTTATTTATCAAATTTATATGCTGCTTTCAGTTAGAGATTCTTGGCAGACAATAAGGTATAAAAATACAACGAATATGGAAGCTGACACAGATAAACCCTAAACAAAATACAGTAGTCCTTGACTTACAGCCATTTGTTTAATGACCATTTGAACTTACAATGGCAGAGAAAAAAGTGATTTATGACCACTTTTCACACCTACGACCATTGCAGCAGCTGTATAGTCATGTGATCAAAATTCGGACACGGCCACCAGCATGTATTTATGATGGTTGCCATGTCCCAGGGTCATGTGATCACTTTTTGCAACCTTCTGATGAGCAGAGTTAATGAGGGAACCAGATTGACTTAACAAACGTCTTACTAATCTAACAATTGCAGTGATTCACTTAACAAGTGTGGCAAGAAAGGTCATAAAATGAAGCAAAATTCACTTTACTGTTTTGCTTAGCAATGGAAATTTTGGGCTTGGTTGTGGTCGTAAATTGAGGACTGCCAGCATGTGGCATCGAGCTCTGTCTTCAGACTTTTCCAGAAGACAAGACAATTTCGGAGGCGGGTGGATCTCCCCTTGGAAGCCATTCTTTTCGCTTTTGTTCTTAATTGCCAAGATGAGGATTTGATTGAAAGAAGAGGAAGTTTCTATTCTGTTCCCTATTGTGATCCACTTCCACACCTGCCAGAAAATAATCTTTTTGTTCAGCCAATGTTTGCAGTACGCACTGGTGGTGCCTGGACCACAATCTAATCAGTATTACAGTGAGGGAGGAGCACAGCTTTTGCAATTCAAATTCCCACACTTTCATCAAAGACATTTTGTTGGCTACTTAAAAAGCAGAACGAAATTGTGCCCTCTAGATAGAAGGATTCCACGGGTGCTGTTATAATTTGGCTCTGATTGTATGAAAGATACACTGGCAGAGCAGGGCATTGGATATGGCCATATGTTACCATGCACAAATTATTGAACTAGAAATAGGGAACTTTTGGCCCCCAGTTTTCATCTAAACACAACAGATTATTCAGAATCTTCCCAAATGGACGGACATATAAGGCTGTTAATGGATGGGTAGGTGGATGGACAGATATTTTACCCTGAAATGTTCCCTTTACAGGTTGCCACCTCTTCACCTAGTTCCCCGGAGACCCTCTTTGTCATCTCAGCCTTCCTCCACTCAGGGAGCTCACCAGCCTCCTCTGCCCCCAGCACTCCTGCAGAGGTATCTGGAATTGCTTCTGGCCTCTCAGCCTGAGCTAGGTCACAAGAATGTGTTCCTGTCTCCTTACCCTCATTACCAGGTGTGTGTATTTTGATAAACCTACTGAGAATCTAGGGGAATGCCCCAGAAGTGACATTCAGCAGGTTCTGATCAGTTCTGGAGAACCGGTAGCCGAAATTTTGAGTAGTTCGGAGAACCAGTAATTACCACCTCTGACTGGCCCCATCCGCATCTATTCTCTGCCTCCCGAGTCCCAGCTGATCTGGAGGGAATGGGGATTTTGCATTAAT